GCTGCTGCAGGTGACAGCACAGACTGTGAATCAAGCTTCTCCCTCCCCACACATACGAGCAATCTGTCACTCCAACAACCGTGTACGATGCGAGGGCCCATGATGACAAGCCAGATATGACTTTCGCCCACATTACATCAGCAGTTGGTATCATGGGAACTACACAGAGAAGATTAAAGGAGCTGGGACCTTCAGAGGAGACTGAAAACTACATTTGCCTGATTAGTACTTCTCAGGGGTCAAATTGAAATTTATTTTCAGTCTTGAGTAGAAAAACGAATTGTAAAATGTTCCCCAAGTTGTGTCCCTTTAGCTATTTTTTTTCATGGCAAGACCTAATTTCAAAATACGGTTAGCAAAATTTTAATTGTACAAAAGTGTTTTAAATTAATCATATAAGTTAGTTTTTACAGTAGGTCAGTCTGAGCTGGTGTTGTTTTATCCATTGACACATGTTGGTCTCAAAGCTGCAAACTTTTTATTTGATAAATAAGCTCAATATAACACATAATTAAAAAAGAGAAATCTGTATTATTTGTTGAGCACTGATTGAGTTAGATGAAAGTGACCTAAGAAGCTGAAACTGAATAGTAAACACAAGCAGAGCAAAATCTAATATTAGTTAAACCACAGCTAAAAGCTAAAATTGGCTAAGCAAAAATGTGTAAAACACCACTAAAAAGATGTGTTGCAAATCAGCAGCTAAAAGTGAAAATGATCAAAACATTGCTAATGACTAAAAGTAGCAAAAACATCTTAAAGCTCGAATTGGCTCATCAAATGCTAAAGTTAGTTCAACTATAGCTACAGGTAAAAATGAGCAAAACAGCAGCTTTAAGCTTAAACAAGCAAACCTGTAGTTATAAGCTAAAATTAACTATATTGTGGCTAAAATTAGCAAAAGCATTAGCTAAAATCTAAAGTAAATGAATTGTGTAGAAAATTTGTAACTAAAAGTGGCATCAGAAAAAACAAAAAGACATAAAAAATGTCTTGTTTCAATGAAGAGTTCTCAATGTATTTCTTTTGATTATTCTATTTTAAATCTTTTTAAATGTTGATGAAAAGTGTAAAAATAGTTACAAAACTTTATATGTGAAGCTCTGGATAAAAGAACCATCATCAGAAACTAGGCAAAGCTTCGTTGCAGCTCTCAGCAGCAGGCTGCAGTGCTGCGCCGTGCTCCAGGTGTGGTGACATGATGTGAGCTGACAGGTGGTACCAGGGGTAATAGGGCTAAAACTCCCATCATGCAACCTGCTGAGGCTCGTTCCTGCCACACCGGCCAAGCTGCTCGGCCACTTCCTGTTTATTACTATGTACATCGTGAAATAATTGATTTATATTTATAAAGATATAATTTTTTTTTTTTTTGTGAAGAATCAACAACAAGTGGGACACAGTCGTGAAGTGGAATGAAATTTATTGGATGTGTCAAACTTTTTTTAACAAATAAAAAAACTGAAAAGTGGGACGTGCAATATTATTTGGTCCCCTTGTGTTAATACTTTGAAGCGCTGCATTTTGCTGCAGTTCCAGCTGCAAGTCTCTTGGGGTTTGTCTCTATCAGTTTTGCACATGGAGACACTGAACATTCTTGCCCATTCTTTCTTGCAAAACAGCTCGAGCTCAGTGAGGTTGGATGGAGAGCGTTTGTGAACAGCAGTCTTCAGCTCTTTCCACAGATTCTCGATTGGATTCAGGTCTGGACTTTGACTTGGCCGTTCCAACACCTGGATATGTTTATTTGTGAACCATTCCATTGTAGATGTGGCTTTATGTTTTGGATCATTGTCTTGTTGGAAGATAAATGTCCGTCCCAGTCTCAGGTCTCTTGCAGACTCAAACAGGTTTTCTTCCAGAATGGTCCTGTATTTGGCCCCATCCATCTTCCCATCAATTCTGACCATCTTCCCTGTCCCTGCTGACGAAAAGCAGGCCCAAACCATGATGCTGCCACCACCATGTTTGACAGTGGGGATGGTGTGTTCAGGGTGATGAGCTGTGTTGCTTTTACGCCAAACATATCGTTTTGCATTGTGGCCAAACAGTTCGATTTTGGTTTCATGTGACCAGAGCTCCTTCTTCCACATGTTTGGTGCGTCTCCCAGGTGCTTGTGACAAACTTTAAACAACACTTTTTATGGATATCTTTGAGAAATGTCTTTCTTCTTGCCACTCTTCCATAAAGGCCAGATTTGTGCAGTGTACGACTGATTGTTGTCCTATGGACAGACTCTCCCACCTCAGCTGTAGATCTCTGCAGTTCATCCAGAGTGATCATGGGCCTCTTGGCTGCATCTCTGATCAGTCTTCTCCTTGTTCAAGATGAAAGTTTAGAGGGACGGCCGGGTCTTGGTAGATTTGCAGTGGTCTGATACTCCTTCCATTTCAATATGATTGCTTGCACAATGCTCCTTGGGATGTTAAAAGCTTGGGAAATGTTTTTGTATCCAAATCCGGCTTTAAACTTCTCCACAACAGTATCTCGGACCTGCCTGGTGTGTTCCTTAGTCTTCATGATGCTCTCTGCGCTTTGAACAGAACCCTGAGACTATCACAGAGCAGGTGCATTTATACAGAGACTTGATTACACACAGGTGGATTCTATTTATCATCATGAGTCATTTGGGACAACATTGGATCATTCATAGATCCTCACTGAACTTCTGGAGTGAGTTTGCTGCACTGAAAGTAAAGGGGCTGAATAATATTGCACGTCCCACTTTTCAGTTTTTTATTTGTTAAAAAAATTTGACACATCCAATAAATTTCATTCCACTTCACGATTGTGTCCCACTTGTTGTTGGTTATTCACAAAAAATGTAAATTTTATATCTTTACGTTTGAAGCCTGAAATGTGGCAAAAGGTCGAAAAGTTCAAGGGGTCCGAATACGTTCACAAGGCACTGTACCCTTCATTCTCTCTTTCACCTTCGATGAAGACGGTCTCTTACCTCCCTCTTGCTTTTATGCTCTTTTGTCCTGTCAACCTCAGAGCCTCTCTTTACACATTTTCCAAATCAAAATTTATTATGGATTTGGTCAGCTGGTCCCTCAAAGCAATTGATAAATTCCACTAGATGACAGGGTGCTGGAAAGCCCTCATGCCCTGAACGAACCCACGCAGCTGCATATGCCATTGATTCCTGGGGTGAGTGGAAGATGATGTGCCTATCTGTGCTGCCCGTGGAGGATGTAGAAGATTATTGGATTCATTCAGATTCAGATTCAGATATACTTTATTATTATTATAAATTATGTAAACTGGGTCCCAGTTACATCCAACAATAAAATGTAAAAGAAAAACAGTAATAAGATTTAAGATATGAACTAAGACTATGAACATGATACAAGACATGATAACGGGGTTTTGCTTTTTAGAATTGGAGGATACCTTGGAAACCGACAAATTAGGAAGACGTCGGCAGCAGTTTCGGTCCTGGTAAAGCTGCCAGCCTTATGTGATGGATTAATTTGTGATTCGAGCACTCAGACGCATATGCTTACCAAGCTCCTGGAACTCGCCAGCATGAATGCTTCAATCTTGGAGAATGCTGAATCGAGCACGGACCGGGCGGAATGTCCACTAATCTGTTTTGGATTCACCATTGAGTGTACCAGCAGAACTTGAAGGCAGACAGAGATCAGAGTCTGCTTGCCCAAACAATTGTTGTTTATCTGAATTTGTCCTCCCCGCTGGCCTTGGACAGACCAACTTACCTCAAATTGCTCCTGGAGGATATTTAAACAGAAGCACTGCCCACCCCCACGAGGACATCTGTGGCCTTATCAGAATTGTGACACAGAAAACACTGAATCATCTTATCAGAACCTTGGAACTTTCTGGAGTGTTTATGAACAATTCACCACCTTTGTTGACCTCCATTCATAAATGTATTATGATGTCATTGTATGTTGCTGTTTTATGTTGCAAGTTTTTTTTAAGCATCTTTTACACCGTTTCCCGACCAGGACATGGTGTGACCTTTTTTTTTTTTTTGGCTTCTTCCACCCTTCTCTTTTTCTCATCTGCCTGTATGTTGTATGTAACAGGTCTCTCTTGTAAAAGAGTTTTTGAGGCTTAATGGGAACTAACCTGTATAAATAAAGGTCAAATAATAATAATAATAATAATATTTATTTTGTTTCAGAAATTATAGGAAGTTGCGGAACAATTTATTTGAAATAAAAACAGAACTAGCAATATTAACTTTGACAATTTATTTGTTTTCCATCAAAAGAAATGCACAGATCAGCAAAGCTAATACATACAAATCGCCATACAATAGCCATTTTTTTTGTTTGTTTTTTTTCATGTCTGAGAGGAGATGAGTCATTTGTACATCGTGTATCTTGAATTTTTTGAAGTTATGCTGCCTTTAGCAACAAAATAAAACAAACCAACACTTTTCTTCCACGCTCAAATAATAATTAAAAAAGGTTCAGTCACAAACTACATACTGTACCTGGTCATTTACGTGTTACTGTACTTGCATACAATAAAGAAAGAAATAAACTAAAGTCTTGCATAGCTTCATTGTAATGTAGATACAGTACTGTAAGGCACTTTAAAATAATTTTAGGCATTTTATTTATTTATTTTACCTTTTTCCACATCATTCTACAAAGTCACCTTAATATGCAACGTTACAACATCTGAATAAAACTTTTCTTTTATCACATTTTTGCGCACTAATCTACTAAACTTCTTTGCTTTTCGTTTGGCATTAAGTCTCAAAGTCAACATTCATACATTGTGCATAATAATGACCAACACGTTGTCCCATAACCCCACTATTTCTCAAAAATCACTACAAAATAAATAATAATTAGAATTTAAAAAAAAAAATTGTGCAATAATTTGGGGTTACGTGGAGTAGAAGGCAACACACGTCGATAACATGTCCCGATCTAAAAGAGAAGAAATGAGTCTGAGCACGTTAGAGGTCTGTATTGTTATACGTTACCAAGTTTGCCTGCACCCCCCCTCGCCCCCCCTGCTTGTTTTTATATTTAAAAAATAGTTCTTGTATTTTGTTCTCGGGCAATCTTTCCGAGGCGATGCTGGGTCGACTCTCTGGATTGTATTTGTAGGTTTCGTTCACGTAGATACAAGCAGGAAGGAGACGTCTGCTCTATCCAAGCTGATCTTCGTACTGCTTACGGAAACAGTCTCCAGCCGGGAAGAAGTCCCAGCAGCGCTCCTGATACATCTTCCACACGTACGACTCCTACACAAACACAGACATAAAGGTCTGTTACCGAAGATGAAGGCCATAAAAACTTTAGTCATGTCTGTTCTGTTAGCTAAACATTTCATGGACCACTGAACAGATTTCAATGAAACTGACAGGCGATATGCAGTCCTAATCTTTAATAGTGTGAATGCTCACACTATTGTTTTCCTGTTTATATTTATCATTCCTGGCTATTAATATCCCTATTCTGTATGTTTTTCAGCATCTTTCTCATTCCGCAATTTTTGTGCTATTTCAACAAATCATATCAAAACATTCAGCTCTTTCAGGACAATCCTGCTATGACTTTTGTTGTTGGCGCAACTTTAGCTTTTTGAAATATTTAGTATTTTCTGCCACATTTTTTCCCTCATAGAAAATTGTTTGAGCTCATTTTTCATCCTTCAAATCTTTAGATGTGTTTAAAACCTTTTACTGTTCCTTTTGTTCTGCTTCAGCTTCTTTCAGCTTCCTTGTGCAAATTGTAACATTTTTTCAGCTACTTTCAACTAATTTCAGATGTTTTTTCCATTGTTTTCTGATCCTTTCAAATTATGTATGCTAACTACAACATTTTTGTGCTTCTTCTAACTTATTTCTGTAATGTCAGCTTGTTCTGCACCTTTCAGCTTATTTCTGCACGTTTCAGTTATTTCAGCTACTCCAACAATGTTCAGTCAGGTCACCTGGACAGAGATTTTTCAGCTACTATTTAGCTGTTTTGTGCTATTTTAAACTTTTTCAGCTAATTCCACTTTTTTTTTTTTAGCTCATTTAAGCTCTTTCCTTTTCATTTTGGTAGTTTAGCTTCTTTCTGCCTTTTCAGCTAATTTTTAGCTATTTTTTGCTAATTTCGGATTTTTTTTAGCTAATTTAATAATTTTTGTGCTCATTTCTGCTTATTTAAACCTAATTCAGCAAATATGTGTTCTTTCTGCTTTCTTCTGCTAATTTAGGCTTGTTCTTCCTTTTCAGCTAAAATTCAGCTTTTTTAGCTAATGTCAGCTGTTTTCCAGCAAGTTCTTCAGCAATAAACATTCACACTGCATTTTCACAGGAAATACAGTTTCTCTAGTTATTATATGCTTTAATGTTTATTCTCATTAGAATGCAACACATTTTTTTTTATAGATCCAAATTGATTTGGAACAATTTCTGCATTTTTGGTCTTTTAGCCAAACAACAGCAGACTCTGCCATTTTACTGTGGAACTAACAGCTGACGAACACATTTCCTCTAACCTCTCATTTGACTTTTAATAATTTTGGCTTCAAGTCTTGATTTAAGACTTCAGCAGTTTATTTAGATGGCTAATAGCAAAGTTTGTTAAAGTGGCTAAAGAGCAGACCTGTTACAGTGAATAGAGTAAAAGTCATACAGTACCTGGCCAGTGTGCTCGGTTTCATCCTTATTGATGAGGTACATCAGGAAGAACCTTGCAAAAAAAAAAAAAGTCACAGCGTGTCACTAAACTAAACTTTCTCCACACTTACAGTTCAAGCACAGAACAAAGAGAACAGAAAGGCCGTCATTGATCTCCACAACACTCGTCGAGTAAATGTCACGTTCTGCGTTCCCAGGAAGTTTCACAAATTCTAAAGCAAGAGTCTAAACAAAGTAACGCGAGTCCATCTCCTTCGCCGAGTCACCTGCTGTTCCCTGAATCAAGTGTGAATGGCAACGGGCCACTGCATCTCTGTGGGCGTCACAGCGTGCCGAACCGCGATGAATGCTGCATGAGAGCGTGCTTTCACAAGCAACCTATTTTCTAATAAAGTTCACGGCATTAAAAAATAATGAAGCAGCGTAATGAGGTCGTCTCGCATCCGACGGCCAGCTGACTGTGAGCAAATGGACTGAGACGTTCTGGTGGTATTATACAGAGGAGACACACAGAGAGGGACAACATCTATAGGATCTGGTCCAGCTGTTTGATGCTGACGTGTTAATTTGATCAACCAAGTGGTTTAAATATAATAAATAAGCACCATTTAATGAAACAAAGGACCACAATAACTCCCAATGGGGCTTGTACTTACAGGTAGTTGGCCAAATTGTGCTCTTGCAAAGTGTGGGTCTCGAATCCATGAGGCGTCGTGTCAAAGTAATCATTACCGATGCCACAAATAAAACATTTGGTCTGAGGATGGAAAAATGAAAACATGGTCAGAGCCGACACTTTATTTTTGCTGTAAGCTACAGAAACCATCAGGGGGATTTGGCTCATGTGGTGTAATTTCCCACAGAGCAGACAGTTCATTAGCATTATTGGCACCTTTAAACCTGTAGATGCTATGAGACGTTATCAGGGCGGACCGTGAGTAGAAATCATGTTTCATGCACATTCTCATATATTTCTCAAAATAAACTAAATGTTTTTATTGCCAAAGATAAGGAAACGTGCACTTCAGTCTCATTTTTGCCCGACTGACTGTCAAGACACTAAAGATTAGCTCAAGAGAGATAAAGAGCCCTGAAAAGTCTCCCACATATAAATGACAATAAATAGCTTTCAGAAATTCATCAAACATATATAAATATAGTACATTTCCACAAACCAGACCACTTATGTGTGATAATAATGCTGTTAAAGATAAATGCACCTCTGTCCACATTAGTCACGAGAATCCACCAAATAAGGTAAAAAATGTGTTTGTCTCCCCCCTCTTCGAGAATCATCTGTCCTCTCACCTCCATGTCCTCTTTGACTTGTTCCTGCTGGTCTCTCAGCTCTCCAAAGGCATCAATGATCAAACCTGGAGCCAGAAAAAAAAAAAAACATTAATAAATTATCATGAGCGTATCAGGTAGTTTATCCTAATGCTCCAAAGATGTGGTTGGGAGGTGGGAAGAATAACACAGCCTATGATGTTGTTTTATGTAAATACTGGATAAAATGTTATATTTTTTAGTTGAAATAAAAAAATTACCCTGGATGATGGCCAGCAGGATGACAATGACAAAGAAGAAGAAAGTGATGTCAAAGAGGATGCGGTAGAGCTCGTAGGGATCGCCAGCGGGATCCTCGATTTCATCCCCGATGCCGCCTCCTGCTCTCACTCCAACGTACATGTGGAACAGATAGCACTGGGAAAACACATGGGAGAGTGGGTTTACAGGGAACGTCCAGAGACAAGGTGAAGGTGGAGGAGTCTTCTGCTCACCGTCATCATGTCGTCACACTTCATGTCGGGCTCGTCGTCGTCCACGCTCTTGTTGTAGAACTTCCTGAAGAAGTTGAAGGCCACCACAGTGTAGAGGTACACCACGACTGCCAGCAGGCCCACCGTCAACACCAGCTGCACACGACAAGCGCATTTTTACTGTTTCATATGTTTTGTTTGGAGAACTTACAGCTTGGTTTTTATAGAAATTAAAATGTCTAACATTCCTTGAAGGAATGCGTATCATACGACACATTTCAGGCCAGTTTTATAGTCATCTTGTGGCAGTGACAGACATTCTTTTTAATCAAAAAATTTTTATTGATTTTTTTTTTTATCAGAATACACACAAAAAAATATAAATAAAATCATATAACAAAATCCCAACCCACCCTCCACACTGGATCAGCCACACAGACACAAACACGTCAGGCATTGACATATATGAGACATAAATGGCTGCCAAGTGTCCCATAATCTCCCAACAGAGCCTTTCAGAGCATCTTTTCCAGATGAACACGATACATAACTTCTCTTATCCAGTGTTCATATGCCGAGGGATGTGGATCCTTCCATCTGCATAAAATAAGTCTCCTGGCTAGAAGAGAGCCAAAAGCAATCATATTCCTCTCATACTTGCTGAAGGATGCATCCACAAGGACCACCCCAAACAATGAAATGAATGGTACACAGGTTTTCCACATATCCCAAAGAAAGTATCAAAAATAGATTGCCAATAGCTCCGCAGCTTGGGACAAGTCCAGAATGGGTGTAGTTTGGGCGTAGGTGGAGTTTGTTTACAGTGGTTACATGCAGGATCCAGGTCAGTTTTAATCTTGGACAGTCCAATGGTGCACCACTCGCAGCCATTTTTGAACCAGGTTAACCAAAAGTTAATCAGTTGCAGTTGTACAATAAATGATTTCTTCTTGGAGGTTTTATTTGAATTCGTCTAAGGCTCGTGAGATGTTTAGGTAACTGACACACAAACACACGCACACACAGACAGACAAAAACATCATTGCTCTGCCATCACCTATCAACAGCTGGCAGTAACAAAAGCTTTAGGTCAATCTGCTGAGAACTATAAAAGAATGTTTGTTCAAAGATGTGAAAAAAAAACATACACTGTCCCATTAGTTTTTTTTTGTTGTTGTGATAAATAATTTCAAAATCTAATTTCTAATGTAAACAGGCTTCAGCTTAAAGGGCTTTAGCAGTGGAAGAAGAATTCAAATGTATTGTATATTTCCATCTTGACTGATCAGCCTGCAGCCACTGACTCTGAGAGGGATCGGAGATTCCTCGCAGACGAAGGCCAAATTAAACTTTGATTTCTGCCTCTGGTGGTTTTACACGTGCTGACAAGATGTGGATGTTTGAGTTATCTGAGCTCAAAAGCCAAAATGCATCAGAGTGCAACTTAGTACTGTATCTATAAATTTAGCAAAATGTCCTTTAACAAAAAGTTCCTCAAAATAACTCTAGGGAGAGGTGCAAAGATTAGATGAAAGGAGACAAAAAGTGCATAAAAATGTAAAAATGTAAAAGCTTCTGTGCAGCGTGTTTATTATGTTCAAACATTTTATAAAGTCACTCAAAGTCAGATGTCTGCCCTTAAACTCTGCAGCAAGTAGGGATGTTTTCTCAGAGGTTTGTAAACTAAGTCAAACGTTAACACTGGGTTGCTTTAGTCAAATGACAGCTGTGAACTTTCCTGATATATTAAGTAAAAAGTAATGCAGCTTATGGAATACTGACCAGCTTTTTATTGATTTTATAAATTGACTTGTTGTCCCGGGTGTTAAAAACAAGACAGAAAGGTTAGTTTTGTGTTGCCAAGTTATGTCAAATTTATATTAAAATGCCTTTAAAAGAACAAAATATGTTTTCTTTTTATTAATAGTCAGAAAATATTTTTGATTTATTATAATTTTTAGGGGGGGGGGGATATTCAGGGCAATAAATTTTTAGCTGAGCATGAATAAACACTTACAGGTAATATAAGTTGGACTAATAAAATCTGTGTTTAGTCACTTTTAAAATAGAGAGAGAAAAAAGATTATTAAAGAACTAAGAACTTTAATAAAATAGTAATAATATATATAAAGATGGATGGATGGATGGATGGATGGATGGATGGATGGATGGATGGA